GAGATTTTTTAAACCAGTGTTACCTCCTTGAGTGTCCTAAAACAACTCTTAGTGGCCATCCCTGTTTAGTTCTTTTTTTTTTGGTATGTGCCCCTAGTGGGAACCGAACCCGGGACTCTCTGGTCCGCAGGCTGACCCTGCAACCGTTGAACCAAATGGATAAGGGCCTAATTGAAGTTATTTTAGTGTTTAGCCATTAGGATACTTCCTGGTATTCCATTACTGTTTTTTAAAGAATGGCTGCTAAGCCCTGGCCGGTTTGGCTCACCGGTTAGAGCGTCGACCTGCGGTCCTGAGACCCGGGTTCGGTTCCCGCGAAGGGCGCGTACCTCGATTGCAGTTTGTCCCCGGCCCTGGTCGGTCGTGCGGGTGGCAGCCACTCGATGTGTTCCTTTCACATCGATGTTTCTCTCTCTCTCTCTCTCTCTGTTCCTCTCTCTCCCTCCCACTCTACCTGAACAAAGAAGTGGGAAAATGTCCTCGGGTGAGGATAAAAAAAAAAAAAAAAAAAAAGAATGGCTGCTAAAACTTAATGAAATTCCTTTCAGCATCTATTGATATGATCATATTTTTGTTCATTAATTTGTTAATGTAATGAATTATGTTGATAGATTCTCTATTAAACCAACCTTGTACTCCTGGAATAAACCCTATTTAGTTAGTGTTAATATTCCTTTTTTGGGGTTAATCCTCACCCAAGGATATTTTCCCATTGATTTTTAGACAGAGTGGGAGGGAGAAAGGGAGAGAGAAACAGTGATGTGAGAGACACATTGATTGGTTGCATACTGCACGACCCTGGCCAGAGCTGGGGATCGAACCTGCAACCCAGGTACGTGTCCTTGACCAAGAATCAAACTCAAGACCCTTTGGTTCTCAGGCCGATGTTCTAACCACTGAGCAAGTTGGCCAGGACTTTATTTATATATATATATATATATATATTTTTTTTTTTAAATCCTCACCTGAGGATATTTTTCTGTTTATCCTCAGATAGAGTGGGAGGCAGAGAGAGGGAGAGAAAGAGAAGGGACAGAGAGAAACATTGATATTAGAGGGACACATTGACTGGTTGCCTCTCTCACGACTCCGACCAGGGCCGGGGATGAACTGCAATTGAGGTATGTTCCCTTGGCTGCAATCGAACCCGAGACTCATTGGTCCACAGGCCGACGCTGTACCACTGAGCCAAACCGGTCAAGGCAATATTCTTTTTTTAATGGTTACTCTTACACACCTTTTTTGTTGTTGTTGTTAACTTTTTTATTAAATTGGGGTGACATTGGTTAATAAATTTACATAGGTTTTAGGTGTACAATTCTATAATACATCACCTGTATGTGGTATTGTGTGCTCACTACCCCAAGTCAAGTCTTCTATCACCATTCATGCCCCCTATTACCCTCTTCTACCTCCCCTCACTCCCTTTCCATCTGGTAATCACCATACTGTTGTAAGAGTTTTTTTCTTTTTTGCTTAATCTCACCTTTTTCACCCTGCCCCACAAACCCCCTTCCCTTAATGTTCTTTTGACTCAATGAATAGATACTATTTTGATATTGCATCTGTATAATTTGACTTCTAGTTTTTTTATTTATTCATTTTTTATCCTCACTCGAGGACATTTTTCCATTTTTTGTTCAGATAGAGTGGGAGGGAGGGAGAGAGAGAAACATTGACGTGAAAGGGACACATTGAGTGGTTGCCACCCGCACGACTCATCCAGGGCCGGGGACAAACTGCAACCAAGGTACATGCCCTTAGTGGGAACCGAACCCGGGTCTCTCTGGACCGCAGGCTGACGTTCTAACCGCCGAGCCAAACTGGCCAGGAAGACTTCTAGTTTTTTAGTATCTTTATTATTATTGGGTTTTAATAATAAAACCACACTTTATGAGTTGGAAATTTTACTCTTCCTATGGTCCAAGAAAATTTTATTTTCTTAAAAAAAATTTTTTTTCTTTATTGATTCTAGATAGAGCAGAAGGGAGAGATATAGAAACATTGATGAGAGAGAACATCGATTGGCTGCCTCCTGCATGCCCCCCACCGGGGATCCGGCACACAACCTGGGCATGTGTCCTGACTGGGAATTGAACCAGCGACCTCTTAGTGCATGGGTCGATGCTCAACCACTAAACCACACTGGCGGGGCCCAAGATAATATAAATATCTTGCCCTTCCCCACCCCCTCAATCAAGCACTTGAGTTTTTCTTCTTTAAAGGTTTTTTTTTTTTTTTAATTTTATTTTTTAAACATTTTTTTTCCTTTATTGATTTTATAGAGAGAAGTGAGGGAGAGAGATAGAAACAATGATGAGAGAGAACATCAATTGGCCACCTCCTGCATGCCCCCAACTGGGGATCTGGCCCACAACCTGGGCATGTGTCCTGTCCCAACCAGGAATCAAACCAGCGACCTTAGTGCATGGGTCGATGCTCAACCACTGAGCCACACCAGCTAGACTAAATGTTTTTTTTCAAACCCTCGCTTTTGGATTTATCCTTTTAATTAAGTTTGCTTAAGTTAACACTTTTTGAAAATAATGAAAACATGTATGTTTATACATTTTCCTCAGGGCACTTTTACTGGGTGTCTCATAGATTTTGGGGATCCTATGTTCCTTAAATTGGAGAAATAAGTTTCCTAACTTATTCTAAACCTCCATGGGGCAGGGCTTGGGCTCTTGAGAACAGGGGCTCCAGGGCTTAAACAGTAAAGGGAACACACTGACTAGAAGGGTAGATAAGTGAACACAGTGAAGTAAGCAGGTGGGACCAGAGAGGTTAGGAATTCATTTAAACTCACACAGCTAGCTCATAGCAGAGCTGGCCTCAAAATCCAGGCCTCAGTTCTGTCAGCTCAACAAAGGGATCAGCAGAGCCAGAATGGTTCTGGCTTTCTGAAGTACAGCAGAAATGAAACAAAGCTAGGGACTCATTTTAGGAAAATATGAGTAGTGGGTACTGGATGTTGCTCAGAAAGGGAGCTTCAAGGTGATCGTCTGAAGGCTACAGGGATGAGAAGGAATGAGTGTGAGTTTGCTAAGGGCCTGGTAGATAGGGAGAGATGGTGATTCTGGGTCTCCTGGGAAATGTTTGACATCCTTCAACGATTAAGAGAAAAATGGGTCCGGCCAGTGTGGCTCAGTGGTTGAGCGTCAACCCATGCACCAAGAGGTCGCCGATTCGATTCCCGGTCAGGGCACATGCCCAGGTTGTGGGTTCGATCCCCAGTTGGGGGCATGCAGGAGGCAGCCAATCGACGTTCTCTTTCATCGATGTTTCTATCTCTCTCTCCTTCTCACTTCCTCTCTCTCTAAAATCAATAAAGGAAAAAAAAAAAGAGAGAATAATGGTGGTTTTGAGGCCAGGGTGGCCAGTGGCTTTACAGCCATCTGGGATCCAAAGGGCAAGCCAAAGAACTCCCACTGGCACTTTAAGCCTGGTTGGTAGGCTGAGAGGACAACAGACCAGAAACCCCTCCAGACCTTAGCACTTCTCCCTCCACTCCCAGGGAGGAGGCAGGACAAGCTGTGTTCCCAGTGTCTGGCCACCCCCTAAGCACTGGCTAGGGCTGCAGTGGGTGATGGGGAGAGCTTACCCCCAGCCCCCCTCCCTGGGAGCGTACAGCAGTGAGGAACAGGATAGGGGGTGGGGGTGGGGGGGCAACTGAGCTCTCCACCCTAACCCAAGAAGCCCTTTGAAAGGTTTTCCTGGCAGAGTTTAAAGCTTCAATTCATTCAACTGCCTGGCATGAGGCCCAGGATGAGGGGATGCTGGGAAGGCCCCAGCCCCACATCCCAGCCTTCACCTTAGCCGCCCCCACTTCCTGGGGACCCGGGCTGGCAGGCCTGCCCCTGCTTGCTCTCTTCATCAAATAGCACCCACCCTCTTTCCTGTCAGGAACTCAGGTACCCTGCCCCTTTCCTGTGGAGCAGATGGCTACCCCACAGGCTCAGGCTTGCTAAATCCGACATTTAAATCCCATAATCCTTGGTGAGTGGCTGACAAGGAGGCAGTAGCCCAATCCTAGAAGCAGGGGCAGGAGAGAACCTTGTGCCAGCCCTGGCAGGAAGGGAGGGACAGTTACGGACGCACCCCGTCCCTTGTTGTCATGCAGCCTGCAGACTGACCCAGTCTCCAGCTTTTGTTCTCCTCCTGGAACCCGGGTGTGGGCCCCCCAACCCACATTCCCTGGACACTCAGGTGGCTGCTTCCCAATGTCACCTCCTTAACTCACCCTTGCACTGTGGGTCCCAGGCAGCCAGCACTGATACTCAAACCTCAGACACACAAGTATCAGTAAAATTTTATTGTAAAATAAGGAAGCAATATAAAAAAATGCGGTATAAAAGGGGAAGAGGAGAAGGGGTGCGGGTGAGGAATACAGATGTGCCTTGCTGCGTAAAGAAGTTGATCCTCAGCATCTGGGGGAAGTAAATCCGATCTTGGAGGATACAGATCCTACACTAGAGATGAAATATGGAATCTTCCAGGGTGTGGGATGGGGTGAGATCTCCTCCTAAGTGGTGAGGTTCACCAAGATGTTAGACAAGATTTGGCCAGGCCAGCAGAGAAGGGACTTAGAAATTTCCTCCTCTTAACCAACTACCCAGTCCCAGAAACCGTTATCCCACTCACCAACAGGGACAGGAAACCAGCACCCCTGAGGGAGCCTAGTCCTAAACATACATTATTTCATTACCCCCACAATAAGCCACGTGAGGAGGGCATTTTATCAACATGGTCAATGAAGTTAGGAGATACTAAACAACTTGAGATTGCTTCCCTGGCTGGCTTCCAACCCAGTGTATGCCTGATTTAAAACCTAACCCTAAAAAAACCCAAATTAGCCCTGCTGGTGTGGCTCAGTGGTTGGGCATCGATCAACCCATGCACCAAGAGGTCGCCAGTTTGATTCCCGGTCAGGGCACATGCCCAGATTGTGGGTCTGATCCCCAGTGGGGGGCATGCAGGAGGCAGCCGGTAGATGTTCTCTCTCATAGATATTTCTATCTCTCTCTCCCTAAAATCAATTTAAAAAATTAAAAACACAAAAAAACCTAACCCTTATATGCAAGAACAAAAAACCTTAAAAGTTAAGCTGAAATATCTCTGGTCCCTCCACCTCCTCACCAAAACCACCAGTGCAGGCCAACTTCTTTAGTAGAGGTCAAAGCAAACTGAACTCTAGGGTGTTTCTGAGGCACACCTGTACCAAGCAGGTTTAAGCTCCCAAGCCCCCAAAAATGCCAGGAAAGAGGAACAGGGTAGGGTGTCAACAGGGGACAGGAAGCAGAGGATGTCAGTCAGTCTGAGTCAGGTCCCTCTCTCTTGAACATGGGTTTTTTATGGCGGGAGGTAGATTGCCCCTTTTTAGACTTCAAGTGGCTGTAGAGATAGAAGGGGGAGGGGAGGAGATGACATTATTTGAGAGGTTCAGGGTCCCTCTTCCTACATCTAGGCTTTGAAGGGTCTGAGGCTAGAAGCAAGGGGAATTTATGTTAAAATAGTCACCATTAACTGCAGACATGTTTACTGAGCACTTGGTGTATTTGTGTGTATGAAACTCTTAATCTTCCTCTATCCCATTTGACAAATGAGGAAACTGAGCTTGAGAAGGGGGAGTAGTAACAAGGCCACACAGGACTTGTTAGCACTCAGTGGGGCTAAAGATCTGATCCCAAACCCCAGCTCTGCCTGGCACTTCCACAGTTACCAGGCCCCTACTGGAGACCCCAGCTATGAGACAGAGGTTGCTAGAAATGGCAAAGAAATATCCATGCTCATATTTGGGCTTGAGGGGTTTGTGGGCTGCTCCACCTGAAGCAGGAAAGTGGCTGTATGATTCAACTAGAGAAGACTAAAGAATGTTCGGGCAGGGCCAGGACCCAACAGGAGGGGTTCAGTTGCCTTTTACCTTGAAGTCAGGATTACAGTGGAATTCCCATTACATAGGAATGGTGAGTGGGGCTGGGAGGGAACACAAGTCACTCACCTGGAGCGAGTCTTACTTCCCCCGGGGTCCTTTCCAGCCTGGGCGTCCTTTAGCTCTAAGGCTTCATTCAGTTCTCGGAACATCTCGTAGCGTTCACGCCCACGGATCTGTGGCAGGGGAGGAGGGGGATAATGAAGTATTAGGCAAAGTCATAGACCATTTTCATGCTCTTTTTAACAATTTTTCTTCTGAAAGATGATCCTTGAAAACGTAGGTTATGGTACAAACTGGCATTCTGAAATCAGACAGCCAGAGCTGTTGCCGCTAGGAAACACTGCCCCCTGATGGCAAATGTCCTAATTGCAGGGAAAGCAGTGAAGAAGAAAATAGCATTTTGGTTGTTAGACTTAAAACTTAATTTTATTTTTTAGTGGTTTAAAACAATACACTTTTATTCTCTTACAGTTCTGTATGTCAGGCATCTCACATAGGGCTAAAATCTAGATGGTAGCAGGCTGCATTCTTTTGGAGGCTCTAAGGGAGAATCCATTTCCTTGCTCATCATTTAGATTATTGGCAGAATTCAGTTCTCTGTAGTTGGAGTTTTCTTGCTGGCTACCAGCAATGGCATGTTGCAGCTTCTAGAGGGCATCCATGTTCCTTGACTTATAGGAAAGGCAAATTGCTATCTTTTCTAAACCTCTTAGAGTTCCTTTTAGCTGGGCCTTAAATAAATTCAGTTTTCTCCAACTAATCATTCAGTGCACATGTTGTGCCTGAAGAAAGGTACCAGGTACTTTGCTAGAAGCTGGGGCCGCACAGATGACTCACACATGGTCCTTGCCTTCAAAGCTGGAAGCAACTTCATTCTAGGCTCGTTATGTTTCTACTAGACATATCCTTATGTTCAACTTGAAATTTAATCTCAAGAGTCATGACCAGAGTTTGGGGAGCTGGGCTAACCTTACACCTGGCTACATTTACATCTTTTATACCCTTTCTTTCTTTCTTTTTTTAAATATATTTTTAAAATTAATTTTAGAGAGGAAGGGAGAGGGAGAGAGAGAGACAGAAACACTGATGAAAGAGAACATCAATCGGCTGCCTCCTGCATGCCCCCACTGGGGATCCGGCCCACAACCTGAACACTTGCCCTGACTGGGAATCCAACCAGGGACCTCTTGGTGCATGGGTCAATACTCAACCACTGAGCCACAATGGCTGGGCATCTTTTGTACCTTATCCAATCCCACTAACTAGGGGCAAGAGATTGCCTATCTCTTTCTCCCAGACTCGGTACCTGAAGGGTGAAATATTCTCCATCCGGTGGCATCTTGGGTGGGGGCGAGGAGTCAGTGTTGGTGGGCAGTGCTGGGAAAGAGGTAAGGAATGGTGAGAAGAATGAACCTGGGGCAGAACTGCACCCTCTCTGCCTCCCCCAAGTCCTCTCGCCCCACTTGCATACCTCGCTTAGTGCTCCCATGGGGCTGCTTGGGACAAGGCTCCTCCTTCTTGCGGGAATTTTCTTCCTCTGTGCGCCGGTCTCTCCCAGGACAGGCGCAAACACGTACCTCAAAGCTGTTCCGTCCCAGAAGATTACCACTGTCCAGGTAAGGAGAAGGAGGCAGGAGGCAGTAAGAAAGTGGGCACATGTCAACAGGCCCCACCTACCCCCAGCCACCTCATCCTATGTGGAGCCTAAGCTCCAGGTCCAGGCTATGGAGAAGCCCCAGATTACAGAGGTTGCAAAGCCAGGGAAAAGAAAACTGAGAGGGAACAACAAAGAAGGTTCTACATATATGGGAGAGGAAAGGAGGCTGGTAGTACTGAAGGAAATGGTTGAAGGGCAGTGTCCAGGGGACAGACAGGCAGAGGCTAGGAAGGACCACGTCAGCATGAAGGGTGGTCTTCGAGTCCCTACCTGGAGTCTTCCAGAGTGATGATGGTGAGGATGGGCCGCCGGTTCATGCCACCCATGCAGGAGCTGTTACACATGAAGTTGTAGTGGATGGTGGTACAGTCAGAGCCCACCTGAGAGTGAACAGAGGCCCAAGGTGAGGCCACCCTGCCCTGAAGCCTGTAGCCTCTAAGCTGCAGTTCTACACATGTCCTATCTGGACAGCCACTGACACACCCCTCTAGCCCTCTCCTCCCAGAGACCCCAGTTGCCAAACCAGACCTCGGGCGGCTCATAGGGCACCACCACACTATGTCGAAAAGTGTTTTTGTCATCCGAATACTCGGCACGCAAATTCCCTTCCACGCGGATAAGATGCTGAGGAGGGGCCAGACCTAAGAGCAATTAGGAAAGAATCAGGCACCTGGGGACTCTGGGCCATAGCCCTGTCCCATCTGCAGCCCTCAAATGCTCACCATCGCTATAGTCAGAGCAGCGCTCATGGTGGGGGCAGCGCCTCACGACCTCCGTCATGTACTCAGACTTCTTGTAGATGGCCATGGCACGAACACGGGTACCGAATGGGGGTGGGGAGCTGACCCACAGCTGCACGGGGCAGGTCTTTGCCAGCTGGCAAAACAGCTTGTTGAGGGTAGGGGAGTACTGTAAAAAAAGAATAAATGGAAGGTCAAGGGACAAGTACCCAGAGGGTCAAATAAACAAGCATTGCTTAAGCACCAACTGAAAGCCATGTACTGTGTGGGCAGGGTAGCCAGAGATGGCAGAATTGGGCATCTGTGGCTCAGAAGTTTACTTACAAAAGCTAAGGAATGAAAGAGAGTGAAGAAAAAAGAAAAGTTCCATGGCTGAGAGTATGATGAAGAGGAAAGCCCAAGGTCAAGGGGGAAAATTCAACTTTGGGACAGAGGTCAGAGGTAGCAGACTAAACAGGTAGAATGTAGAAAGACAGGCCATAGGCTGAGGGAAATTCCAGTGTCTGAATAAAAAACCCAAGGGAATATGGTCAGGCATAGAACTGTCACATGGAAGCCAGCCTCCCAGGGCCACTGACCGTGCAGGTTACAGACTTGGCTGTCCCAGAATTCAGGAATCCTAAACGGAAACCATAGCTACCAGGGTAGGTCTTCTGGGAAGGGACAAAGGATGACAAAGGCCAGGAGGTGGCTGGTGCCGGGGTAACAGTTGCTCGTGCAGGAGTTGCTGCCACACTGGAGGCTTCATCTGGACCATTGTCCAGACAGTTTACAAGGTCTGGGGACTGGAATAGTTCATCTGGCGGGGAGCCGTCAGAGGTCTGTGAATGAGAGAAATGAGTCAGAGGGCCAGGTTCCCAGGCTGTTAGCTCTGCAGCCCCTGATCCCTTCCCACCCCTAGTCCTTACCAGATCATTGTTTTCGCGAAGTCTGAAAGACAAGAACAGAAAATCAGTACTAGTTCTTGCTTTCTACAGGCCTCTACTATGAGGGCGCTGGGGATGGGGTGGGGTAGGCAGGGTGGCGCAGTCGTTATTAGAGGCGGGGCAGTAAACCTGACCCTCCCAAGAGACCCCCACTCACAGTTTCCACAAGTCTAAAAATGTCTCTTGACTCAGAGGGGCATCCATTTCTGACTGTGGCTCATCCATTGCAGCTCCCTGGAAGGCAGTGTGGCTGCTCTGGGGGGAGGAAAAGTGAGGATCTAGCACGGAACACACCCAACACCAGGACGCCCAGCCCAGGGCAGGAGAACCCCCTCCACTAAACACTCTACTAGAGTCTGAGACAGGAGTCCCCTGACCTCCTGGGAGCAGGGCTGCTCCTTCACGACTTTTCTCTTCAAATCTTTTATCACAACCCAACCTGCTTCTTGCCCTACCTCTCACTAGCCTTCCTATACATTTCTTGAGATAAAAAAGATAACCGGAGGACTTCTCATCTTTCCATCAATGAATCCACAAGCCTTCCTGAAAGTGTACCTCACTTCTGCCTCCCTTCCTAATAAGGATGCAGCAACTCTCAGCCCATTCCCTTCACTGGGGGAAGCTACCTCCCTTGATCCCCTTCACTGCAAAGCTTCCTGAAGAACCACCCTCTCTCACCCCGGCTTACAAATCCCTCATGACCAGGCCCCTGCCTGCTCCTTTGATCTCATCTCCTAGCACTCTCTCTTCCCTACACTGGCTGCCTTTCTCTGCTCTTCAAACACTCCCCAGTTCATCTAACTGATGGTTCCCTCTACTGGAAACACTGGTCCTGCCACCACTGCAGGGTAGGTTCCTTCTCAGACCTCAATCTGAATGTTGTACCTCCTCAGGGATGTTTTTCCAGACCACTCACAGTCTGCTAGCCAAACTCTGTCACCAATTCTCATGGTACTTACACTGTCTGATACCTTCTCTTGTTCATTTCATCTGTTTCCTCTAGATGAAGATAAACTTCCTCAAGACAGGGAAGTTATCTATCTTGTTCATCATAGTATTAGCATAATGCCTTGCACCTGGCGGGGCTCACTAACTGGTGAGTAAGTGAATGGCTGTGCCCAGGCTGTGAGCAGGTCAGAGGAACAAGGAGGGCAGAGGGATGGCCCCAGTACGGGCCAGGGCTCTGCATTAAACTCTGCTGCTTTCACCTCACCTTCTCCCAGGCCATCATCTTTCTTTCTCTCTTTTTTTCAAGATAAAGTGGGAGGGAGAGAGAGAGAGAGAGAGAGAGAGACAGAGAGACACATCTATATGATAGAGCCACACTGGCACGACCTGACCAGGGCCGAAGATGAACCGCAACCGAGGTATGTGCCCTTGACCGGAATCGAACCCTAGATTCACTGGTCCTCGGGCCGATGCTCTAACTGCTGAGCCAGACCAGCCAGGGCTCCATCATCTTTCTTGATGTCAAATTTGTCATCAGGTTCGCTAAGAAACACACCCACTGCAAACTACACTTTTTGTTCAGTCTTGCTGGGCACTGACAAATACCCCCACCCCACCCCACCCCACCCCAGCTAGTCCATTATTGGGGGACTCTTTTCTACTCTCCCTTGACATCCACCTCTACTTTTACGGTAATAAAGGACTTTCTTTCTTTTGTAATTAGTTTGCAAAATCCTTTCAAGCTTATCATACTTATTCTGATAACCACACCTGACACTTCATAAGTCTCAAAAAGGTTAAGTGACTTGGCCCATAGTACACACAGGTCAGCAAATGAGCTTTTATTAAAAACGACCACTCAAGCCCTGGCCAGTTTGGCTCAGTGGTTGGAGCGATGGCCTGCGGTCCAGAGAGACCCGGGTTCGGTTTCCGCTAAGAGCATGTACTTTGGTTGCGGTTTGTCCCCGGCTCTGGTTGGGTCATGAGGGTGGCAGCCACTCGATATGTCCCTTTCACATCGATGTTTTTCTCTCTCTCTCCCTCCGGCTCTATCTGAAAAAAAAAAAAAAAAAAAGGAAAAATGTCCTCGGGTGAGGATAAAAAAAAAAATGAGTCCTCAAATATCTAGGAGTAAGCTTACTTCATCACAGGCTACTCTTCAGGTGCAGATTTTAACTAACAAAAATCATCCAACTGAGAGGCTGGCAAAGGACTACACTTGTGAGAACTCCCAGTATCGATAGGGGGATAAGTTATATACGCGCATGGAGGAAGGCAAGAAGGGCAAGAGGGAGCGGTGGGAAGTACCAGGACACCCCCTGGATCAATGATCAAAAAAACTGAGACTTTTATGAAATGGAGTGCACGTGAATGGGAAGGGGGCTCAGAAGTCAAAAACCCTAGGTTTAAGGTTGCGCCGTTACTCTAATTTGCTGTGTGAACATACCCACCTATCTTTTTTGGTTTTTTATTGATTTTTAGACGGAGGGAGTAACATCGACTAGTTGTTCCACTTACTTATGCATTCATTGGTTGATTCTTTTTAAAATATGTTTTTATTGACTTTTTAAAATAATATATTTTCTTTATTGATTTTAGAGAGAGAGGAAGAAGATAGAAACATCGATGAGAGCCCTGCCCAGTTTGGCTTAGCGGTTGAGCATCGACCTGCGGACCAGAGTCCTGGGTTTGGTTCTCGCTAGGGGAAGGTACCACCAAAAAAAAAAAAAAAAAATTGATGACAGAGAACATCGATTAGCCACCTCCTGCATGCTTCCCACAACCTGGGCATGTTCCCTGACTAGGAATCGCACTGGCGACCTCCTGGTACATGGGTTGACGCTCAACTGCTGGTGAGTCACACCAGCCGGACTTTATTGACTTTTTTAGGGAGAGAGAGAGAGATATAAACATTGATTGGCTGCCTCCTGCATGCCCTCTACCAGGGACCAAGCCCGAAACCTGGGCATGTGCCCTGACCAGCAACTGAACTAGGACCTCACAGTCTATGGGACAACATTCAATCTACTGAGCCACACCAGCCAAACTCATTGGTTGATTTTTGTATGTGCCCTGACTGGGGATCGAACCCGCAACCTTGATGTATTGGGATGATGCTCTACCTGAGTACCCAGTCAGGGTCACGTACCTATCTTAAAGGGCTAACTTTTTGGCTTCTTCATGTACAGAAACTACCCAGGGGCTGAGAAACGGGCTCTGGAGGCAGACAAGCTAGCATCCCTTGCTAGCTGCTTGACCTTTCTGTGCCTTAGTGTTCTTTGTTCTAAAATAGTAGTACCATTTATGGGACATGTAGAACTGAAAAAAGTACCTTGCACATAGGCAGAGCTTGACAAATGTTTCTGTCTATATGATTGTTCCATTTTATTTGTTCTATATTCTAGAGTGAGAACTTTGTAATTGTGAGTGGGTGGGGCTTTTGTGTACTACCCCATTAATGCTGGTTCGCCTCCTTCAGAAAACTCCGTTCAGTAAACATGCCAGGAGGGGTGGTTCTGGGATGGTGGGCCCAAGGTTTTGTCAGTTCCACTGGGAGGGAGACAGCCCCAGGGACACAGGAGGTCTCCTTCTGTCTTGGTAGCAACTAAATTCTCAATGCTTCTTTAAAAAGCAAGCACAGACCTGGTGGGTTTGGTTCAGTGGTTAGAGTGTTGGCCAGCACACCGAGTCCTGGGTTTGATTCCGGCCAAGGGTACGTAACTCAGTTGCAGTCCGTCCCCGGCCCTGGTTGGGGTCATGCGGGTGGCAACCAAACCGTTTCTCTCTCTCTCTCTCCCTCCCACTCTGTCTGAAGAGAAATGTAAAAACAATATCCTCAGGTGAGGACTGAAAAAAAAGCAGGCAGTCATCACTAGGAAACCTTTTCAGAGTGGGTACTTCCCATGGCTATGTGTATCAGGAGGCCAGGATACCAAAACTGTCAGAAGCTGAACCAGACCTTCCAAAGGTTGGGGAGGCAGGATGTTTACACAAGCAGTCCCAGTGGGAAGCCAATACACTCAGGACTGCAAGGAGGGGCAGGTCAGACAACTGTCATAACAATGGCTGCTGCTCACAGGCCCAATGCTTTTAGTGGCTCATTCCTTTATTACTCTCAAAAAGCCAGGAAAGTAAGTATTATCATCAGCTGAGGGAACTAAGGTTACAGGAATTAAGTCACTTATCCAAGTTCAGAAAGCTCCCAAGGGGTAGGGCCAAGGACTTGAACCTATGGAGCCAGAGGCCACACCCAAGCTCTAAATAATTATGCTCCTATGGCTTCATCCAGATCCTGGTGTAAAAAATTTTTTTTGGATGAAAGCTATTTGATTGGAAAAAGAATTGATTCTGGAAAGTAATAAGGCAGTGTCTGGTAAAACTGAGAAACACACACCTTACTACTTAGCAAGATCACTCTAGGTAACCTCCTAGGAAATGGTTGCATGGGGGCAGCAGCAGGAGTCTTGCACATAGGTGTTCATGTCAGTACTGTTCCTAATGGCAGACAACAAGAAACATTACTATCCATCAATAGCGAATGGCTAAATTATTATTATTATTATTTTTAATCTGCCCCAGAGAATATGTGGGTTTTAAAAAAATTGATTTTAGCCCTGGTTGGTTTGCTAAGTGGTTAGAGCATCGGCCTGCAGTCCAGAGAGACCTGGGTTCGGTTCCCGCTAAGGGTGCGTACCTCGGTTGCAGTTTATCCCTGGCCCTGGTTGGTAGTGCGAGTGGCAGCCAACTCGACGTGTCCCTTTCACGTTGATATTTTTCTCTCTCTCTCTCTGTTCCTCCCCCCTCCACTCTATCTGAAAAAAAAAAAAAAAGGAAAAAAATGTCCTCGGGTAAGGATAAAAAAAATTGATTTTAGAGAGAGAAGAAGGGAGGGGAAGAGAGAGATATTGATATGAGAGAAACATCAATCCACTGCCTCCCATATGAGCCTCCTATGAAGGGGGGGTCAACTCGGCATGTGCCCTGACCAGGAATCGAACCTGCAAACTTTTGGTGCATGGAACGATGCTCCAACTAACTGAGCCATCGGGTCAGGGTAGGAATGGCTAAATTAAATGTGGTATACTGACTCACAAGAGATATTTAATACAGAAGTTTATCTGCACATGTAATCTTGAGTGAGAAATACAATTTGCTAGAAAGAAGCAAAACATAGTAATATACGTAGTTAATGCTAATGTAAATTAAAAATACAAAACAACTATTTACTGCTTAAACATATGTATATAAAAGTATGAAAGACAGGCAAGAAGAATAAAAATTCACAAAACTATGACAATGATGGTCTCAGAGAGGGCATATCATGCTCAAGGGACTGGGGGCTTTAACAAAGAAAAATAAAATTAAATGGTATCCATACATTAGTTGTACAATTAAAATATGGACACAAATTAGACAAAATGCTAATAAATGTTATAATTATTTGGTGGGTATATGAGTGTTGTTTTTCTTGTACTCGTCTGCATTTTTCCAAAATAAAAAAAAACTTCTTTTTTTATCCTCACCCGAGGACATTTTTCCATTTTTTGTTCAGATAGAGTGGGAGGGAAGGGGAGGAAGAGAGAAAGAGAGAGAGAGAGAGAGAGATTGAGAGAGAGAAACATCAACGTGAAAGGGACACATCGAGTGGCTGCCGCCCGCACGACCAACCAGGGCCGGGGACAAACTGCAACCGAGGTACGTGCCCTTAGCGGGAACCGAACCCGGGTCTCTCTGGACCACAGGATGACGCTCTAACCGCTGAGCAAACCGGCCAGGGCACAACAGAACTTCATTGTCTCATAGTTCTGGAGGCCAGAAGCCCAGATCAAGGTGTTAGCAGAGCTGTTTCCTTCTGGAGGATGAGAGAGAATGTGTTCAATGCCTCTCTCCTAATTGCTGGTGGTTTCAGACAATCCTTGGTGTTCCTTGACTTGTAGATGGACCGCTTCCACCTCTGTCTCCATTATCACATGGCCATCTCCTTGTGTGTGTCTGAGGTATCAATAATTTTTTTTTTAGCTTGGACACTGTGGTTCAGTGGAATGAGCATCGCCCTATGGACTGAGAGGTCCTGGTTCAATTCCTGGTCAGGGCACATGTGTGGGATACACGCTTGATCCCCACTGGGGGGCATGCAGGAGGCAGCCAATCAATGTTTCTCACATTGATGTATCTATCTCTCTCCCCCTTCTTCTCTTTAAAAAACAAAAAACAACAACTATATATATATATATTAGCCCCCACCAAGAACAAAGGAGGCAGAAAAGAGCACTAACATACCAGATTTAAACCCAAACCTCACAATAATTGCATTAAATGTAAATGGTCCAAGCGCTCCAGAGTTCAGTGGGGGAAAGAAGGCTATTTCGACAAGTGGAACTGGAACAAATGGATATTCATATAGGAATAAACAAAAATAAAACAGAACTTTGACCCCTTATCATAAAAATTATTAATTATGACTCATTTACCCGAGGGTAAAACTGAAACTATAAAGGTTAAAGAAGACAATATACGAGAAAATGTACAAGGGTATCTTTAATGACTTTGAGGTAAGATTTCCTAAACAAGTAACAGAAAACACTTAAAAAAGATGAATCTTCTCCTCTAGGCAAGCAACAGGTCAGCAGAAAACATATGTGCCAGCCCTGCCAGGTAGCTCAGTTGGTTAGAGTGCTGTCCCAGTATGCCAAGGTTGCAGGTTTGATCCCTGGTCAGGACACATACAAGAATCAACTAATGAACACATAAATTTTTTTTTCCCCCCCTCTCTCTAAAAATTAATGAATAAAAATTTTAAAAAATGGAATCCCCCACATGTATCAGACAAAAGATAATCTGTATTCAAAATATATAAAATACTACGATTCAATTTAAAATAAAAAGAGCAAACAAACCAATTTTAAAAATGGGGAAAAACACCCTGGCCAGTTTGGTTCAGCGGTTAAGAGCGTCAGCCTGTGGTCCAGAGAGGCCTGGGTTCGGTTCCCATTAAGGGCATGTACCTCAGTTGCAGTTTGGCCCGGGCCCTGGTTGGGTCGTGCAGGACACAGCCACTTGATGTGTCCCTTTCACCTCGATGTTTCTCTCTCTCTGTCTCTTCCTCTCTCTCCCTCCCACTCTATCTGAACAAAAAATGGAAAAATGTCCTTGGGTGAGGATGGAAAAAAAAAGGGGAAAAGACTCGAAGAACCACCTCCCATGACATAGGAATGGCCAATAAGTACATGAAAACTGTTGTTAATGGTACAACCACTTTGAAAATTATAATTTTAAAATAAGGTTTAAAAAATACATAAATTTACTCTATACTCTCTTGACCTAGCAATTCCAATCCTATTTATCCAAAAAACATGAAAACCTATGACCACAAAAAGAATTGACCAAGAATGTTAATAGCAGCTTCATTCCAAATAACCGATCAAGAAACAATTCAAAAGGCCATCAAAATAAGAACAAACAATCCAATGTAATATATTAAATAAAAAGGATCAAAATACTAATACCCCACCCATCTATGCAGTAAACAACACGGATGAATTTAACCAAAATCATGCTGAAGGAAAAAAGCCTGACACAAAAGAGCACATACTGCATGACTCCATTTATATTAAGTTCTCCAAACAGAAATCAAAATAAGGTGGGAGTCAGAGATACACTGGGATGAGGCATGAAATCTGGGGCGATGAAAATGCTCTATACTGAAAAGTGTTACACGGTGGTTAGTTGCCCAAACTCGTCTAATTGCAGTTGGTGTAAATGCGAAATCAATTTAGGAAAAAAAAAACCTATTAGGTACCGCGCACAATGCTTGGTTTTCAGCAGATGTGTGGTAAGTGACTGCTGAATGGGACGACCACACCCTACGGCATGAAGATGAGGGGGAAATGGTTAATCTTGGGATTTAGCTCAGGTTCTGCCCCTCTCACAGGCAACAACGAGCTAGGACTGGCAGGTTGCACTTAGGTCTGCTGAGCCGCCCCTTCCGCTTTCACGACGTTCAGTCTGCGTCCGAAATTGGAATAGTTTAGCCCAAAGCCAGCTACAAGAGTTGTTTCTCCCCACAAATGATCCGTCGTTACACTCTTTCATCGTTTAATTCTCAAACGTACTCTTTCGCGAAAATCCCCAGGGTCTGCCCTGGGCACACTTAAAAAACAAACAAACAAACCCGTCCCACGCAATGGTAGCGTCCACCTAGATTATAGTCGCACTGGGTGGAGCACACCATTCAGAGGGGGAGGGTTTGAGGTTTGCTACAAAACAAAGAGCCCCCCCCCCTTCTTTCCAAAAGCCGAAACTGCGTAGTCCAGGAATAAGAACGAAAAAGTGGGGAGGAGGGTTATCAGTCTCCCTCTGCAAGAAATAGGAACCAGTCTAAAAGTTTTTCTCTTCTTTCTCCTTCCCCTCTCACCGGTTAAACTTGAGCTGCTCTGAAGGAAGAAACCGGAAATGGTAGTGCAAGTGGCAGAAATGCAAATACAGAGCCAAACAATAACAGGGCTTCCGGGCCTCTTAGACCAGGGTAATCGGGTTTCTCCAGCAAACCGTTCGCTTAGCGTTTCACACTTCCACGACTGACAGTATTTAATTGGATTTTCTTCGTCTAGTGGAGCCGGGAGACCGGCTGGAAAAATCACTCCAGGAAGGATAAAGGTCTGGAAGTTATGGGACCTTTCTTAGCGTGTGCTCCCAGATTACCCCGAATAATCATTTCAGAATGTAGCCCGAGATTTCACCAGGATACCATGGACTCTAAAGTCTAGAGTCGGGAGTTCGAGATCCTAAAGTCTCAGACCCTGATGTTTGGTGCATCTAATTTAAGGCACTGGGCAGGGGATAGGAATGGGTGGGTGGGTGGGTGGGGAACAACAACCCGTTAGGCCCGCTTAAAGTTCCCCGAAGTTCCACTCCCCCGCCCAGCTGTTCAGGTTTGAGTTTGGCTGTTTCTAACAGCCTCATTATCTACACCCGTGCCTCCCAACATTGCCGCTAGCCCAGCTTCTACACCCCCCCCCCCCATCACCAAGTCCCCAGTCCCCAATCTCTAGCCTCCACGATTCTCCCTAGCTGAAAATATACGGAGTCGAGAGCTCGTGACTCAAAGAGGACTCCATCACCCTCAGTCAAGAGCTTACCTGAACACCGCCCTGGGAAGCACGCTCCTAGGCCGGATGGCAGGTGATCCCGGGGGCCCAGGGAATACCTGCTTCCAGGGCGGTAGCTCTGGACTTTTGAGCTCAAAACTTTTAGCGCCAGTCGGAGCACATGGGAGGGGAAAATCCCAATCCCAGCAACCCCCGCGAGACTACTGGCACAAAGCTGGACAGTGGCCATGACAAGTAAGGGCAAGTAATTCGCTGGTGGGCGGAGACAATGGGAAAAGAGAAGGGGAGAGGAGGACGCTGAGTGAGTCGGGCTTCTCGACGTGTTGGTGCTGTCGTTACCGACATTTTTTGGGACGGGGAAGTTAGACAAGCCAAAGTCGTGAGGACAGAATTGGTGGAAACCGTTTTGGAAGACTCTTGCTACTGTGTTCAATATGAAGGTGGAAGGAAAAAAGCCACTGTACTTGTTCTTTCCCTCTGCCTGGAACACTGCTCTTCAGATAACTGGATAGTTTCTTCTCAGGGAAAGTGTTACCTTTTAGGAAGGCCTTCATTAAGATTCCAATCTAATGTACTTCCCCTAATACTCTATATCACACCATCTTGTTTTATTTTCTTCACGGCCCCCTTTATCACTATCTGAAAAGATTTGCTCCGTGCTTCAATACACAGCAATGTAAACCTTAGTCTACTATCTTATTCACTGTTGTATTTCCCAGTGCCTAGTACAGCACTGGGAAGCAACTCAGGGCTCAATAATAAATATTTATTGGATGAATTAAGAGACAAGTCTGAGGAACTTGGCGAATGTGGCGCAAAAGTTCAAGCCCAGTAAAATCAGACATGGCGTTAGCGCCCTCTGCAGGTGAGGTAGGAACTAGGTGCTTAAAGAACGACCGCGGGAGCTCAGATACATCTCGCCCAGGCAGAAACTTTCAGATTACAACTCCCGGTAGCCACTAAAAGTCCTACGGCCTGATGGGAACGGTAAACCGTGACTGTTACGTCCTTGACCTGCCTCTCACAGGGGTCGTCCCTGAAATCTGATCCGAGATGCGGGGGTCCAATCGAAAGGTGGGCCCAAATCCCGCGAGAGCAAGTAGCGCGCAGAGACCGACCCGCCAAAGGTCCCCGGTGTTTTCAACATCGGCATCTCCGCCGTCACTTTCGCTTTCCCGGGGTCTCCTGCCCCCTCCCGGAGGAAGAAAGGAGGCACAGGTGGGTTTCTGTAGTTGGCTTTCCGGATCGTTAAGAACTGTGAAGCTGTTTCCGGCGCTGTGCGGGCCAGGCAGCTAGCTGGTAGCCAGTGGGAAGAGGGTTGCCGGGCCGAGGCCAATGCCTGCCGCGCTTCCTCTGCAGTATGAAGACGTCGGAGGCACCACCGTTAGCTCCCTACGGCCTGTCTACAGACCAGGCCCCAGTTTCAGCCCGTCTCTCGCTTCAGGCTTCTCCGATGGATAAAAATACGGATCCAGAACTGATGCCTCTGCTATCTGAAGGGGATGATCCGCCCCGCGTGTCCCCAGATCCCATGGCTGGCTCAGCTGTGTCCCAGGAGCTGGAGGAGGGGGAGCCAGCTTCTCTCTCCACTTCCTTGGAATCGGAGTTTAGCACTCCTAGTGAGTTGAGCCCTCGAATCAAGGAGCAAGAACTTTCTGGAAATGCGAGCCTTCTTGCAGAGGAAATGAACAGGCCAGAATCGGGGCCTGGAGAAGCCGTGGAAGGTGTGTCTGAGGAACCCGCTCCTGAGGATGAGGGATCCACGTAAGTGGCGATGGCCATTGACACAGGGAATCCAAGGAGAATTAAAGTGTGAGATGTACAGAAGTGTGAGATATACCTTGTCCTCCAGTCCTCAGCCCCAATTCTCCAGGCCTATTTCCTCTTTGGCGACTCAGGTTTGTTGTCCCCCATCTTCCTTCCAGCACTTGGAGCTACAGCTTCTCCCAGCTACCTCAGTTTCTCAGTGGTTCCTGGTCAGAGTTCAGCACCCAGCCTGAGAACTTCTTGAAAGGCTGTAAGTGGTAAGGAAAATGGGGCAGGGAGATAAATACACCAGGATTTTCACCTTAAAATACCGTATTTATCTAGGAGAAGGATCCCTCTTGGACTGAACTTTATTTTCAACTAGGATTGTGTCTTTACTTCCCACAAAGTCTTGAGGGGTTTATTTCCCCTAGAGATAGACTCAGCCCTAACCCTACACTTGGAAAATGTAGGTCTGTCTAGCTTTCTAATTCTTGCCTACTCCTAGGGCTCCTGATGGTTCCTGCATCTTGACCAATAGTGCTGATAACATCCTGCGGATTTATAACCTGCCCCCAGAACTGTACAAGGGAGGGGAGCAGCTGGAATATGCAGAAATGGTAAGGGTAAGGGCTAAATCAGCTCCTTTATAGGACACTGAACATTTTCTTCATCATGAATTTCCATAGGTAGCATTTTCTACACTCAATTCTGAAGTTATTTATTTATTTATTTATTTAAATTGATTTTAGAGAGAGGGAGAGAAAGAGAAACATTGATTTAGTGTTCCATTTATTTATGCATTCATTGGTTAATTATTGTATGTACCCTGACCGGGGATTGAACCCGCAGCCTTGGCATTGGGAGGATGCTGTAAGGCCAGGGTGTAAAGTCATTTAAAGAGATGTTTGTCACTTTTTTAGTCAGTAATATGTGTTTTCCATAAAAAGGTAGTGTATTTCTTGTGACACTTCTTAATTGACTTACAGATTATTTTAATTTTGGTAGTATATTTATTAAAGCTGGGGACAGTGAAACAAGGAAAGGCTTAGGATAGAAGCAATAGGAGAGAGTCTAGGAGAGGCTGCTTTGGCTCACTGGAAAGTCAGAGAAAAGGGATCTCAGAGACAGGTTCAGGGGTTTGCCTGGGAAGAGCTACCACTGCCCATTGCTCCCCTAATTGCAAGTCTTGTGGGGACCCCTAGAGTTTAAGAGATGCAGCCAGAGAGGGAAGAAAGGAGTGGGTGTGCTCCTGAGAGGGAGAGCCTCTGTACAGATGTTTATTGAATGATTACCAATATGTTAGTTACTGTTTGGTGCTGGGTAAAGTGGTGAATGAGACAGATGAGCTGGTTTGCTTTCTTGTTTGGGAGATAGACAACAAACATGCAAACCAATAAATAATCAAGTTCGTTATAAACTATAATAAATGCTATGAAGGAAATAAACAGTGAGAAAAGACTAACAAGAGGATACTAGTTAGATTAAATGGTCAGGGAGGGGCCCTCTGAAAAGGAGACCTTTCAAATATTTTTAAAATATGTTTTTTTTTTTTAATTTTTTATTTTTTAGAGAGAGGAAGAGAGAGAGAAATAGAAACTCCGTGTGAGGGAGAAACATCAATCAGCTGCCTCCTGCACACCCTCTACTGGGGATGGAGCCTGAAACTCAGGCATATATCCTGACCAGGAATCAAACCAGGACCTCTTAGTCCATGGGCTGATGATGCTCAGTCCATGGAGCCACACTGGCCAGGCTGAAAAGGAGACATTTAAGCTGAGACCTGAAGGATTATGCGATCAGTCATGTGAAGAGCTGTAGAAAGAATATTCTGAGGAGAGGCAATGGTCTTCCAAAGACCAAGAGCTGGGAAAGAGCTTTGTGTGTTCAAGGAACAGAAAAAAAGACCAATGTGCCTAGACTGAGGCCAGTGAGGGGAAAGTATGCTGGTTGTAGAGAGATGGCTAGTAGCCACATTGTGTCAGATCTTGTGAGTAAGGCCTTTGGACTTTATTGGGGAAGCCGTGGGAGAGTTTTAAAACAGGAGTCAAACAATGGCTGAAGTTTAGAGAATGAATTGTGGGTGGGCAACAGTGAAATCAGGGAGACTCATTAGAATGTATTTTTCATGGTTCAGGCAAGAAATGATGGTAGCTTGGGCTAGGTATCAGGAGAAACGGGGATATGTGGAAGGATTTGAAGTATATTTTGTAGGATTTAGAGGTCAATCGGATGTAGAGGTGCAGGGAAGGAAGCAATCAAGGGTGGTGTCCAGGGTTTTGCAGCCAGGTGGACGGTGGTATAATTTACTCAGAGGAGGAAACAGGGATATGAAAAGGTGTTGGGACAAGTCGAGTTTTTAGGTACATTAAATGTGAAATGTGCCCTGGCTGGTTTGGCTCAGCAGTTAGAGTGTCAGCCCGTGGACCAATGGGTTTCGGGTTCGATTTTGGTCAAGGGCATGTACCTCAGTTGCGGTTTATCCCTGGCCCTGGTCTGGTCGTGCGGGAGGCAACCAGTTGATGTATCTCTATCACATCGATGTTTCTCTCTTTGTGTGTTTCTCTCTTTCCCTCTCTCCCTTCCTTCCTCTCTATCTAATGATAAATAGAAAAATATCCTTGGGTGAGGAATTAAGAAAAAAAGTGAAATGTAAAACTAACGGGAGAAATTGGGGCTGGAAATATACTTTGAGAAGTGGGAGAGCATGTATTTTGTGTCGTAAAAATGGATTCAGTCTCCTGGCCGGTGTGGCTCAGTGGTTGATCATTGACCCATGCACCAAGAGGTTACTAGTTCGATTCTGGTCAGGGCACATGCCAAGGTGGTGGGCCTGATCCCCAGTGAGGGGCATGCAGGAGGTGGCTAATTGATGTTCTCTCTTATCAATGTTTCTATCTCTCTCTCCCTCTCCCTTTCTCTCTCTCTCTCTCTCTAGTATCAATAAAGAAAAAAAAAAGAATGGATTCAGTCTCGAGAGAGTGTAGATGGAGAAGGAAAAGACTCAAGCAGAGCCCTGAGCGTTCAGCACATGGAGGTGGAAGCACAGGAGAAATTACAAAAGTGGAGGCAGAGTCATGTCTATGCTGTTGAGAGTGAGGCAAATTTAGAGAATAACCCATGAAGACATTAATGATCTTGACGAGCACTTTCAGAAAAGTGATGGAGACAGAAGCCGATTAGAATGGGTGGAAGAGGAACTATAGACAATTCCTTGGAAGAGTTTTCTCGTGACAGGAGAATGAGAAATGGAATGGTGACCAGAGGGAATGTGAGTTCAAAGAATGGTTAATGGGAGGGGGGCTCTGTGTTGTCAGGAATAACTCCAGGAGGTAGGAGTTGATGCTCTAGAAGAGAGAAGGGTTAACAAAATCATTGAGTAGCTGGGTGAAGGCAGGCCGCAGAGCACATTGGAGGACTTTGGTGCAGAATCCTTCCTTGCTGTAGAAAGAAAGGCAGAAGTGTTTAGAGGCACCTGTTTGGTGGTTTGAAGATTTCGGTGTCTCTGTCTGTTGGCTTCTCAGTGAAGCATAAAGGGAGGTTATCAGCTGAAGGAAGGAGGGTCTCTGAGGAGAGAGCAGAGGTGTAAAGGATCAGTCCTGGAAAGCCAAAGATCACAATCACCAAGGAATGTGGTAGAATTGCTAGTCTTTGCTCAGTGCCCTCTAGAAATTTGTGGCCATCCATTTCAAGTGGGACCAATTAATGTGATTATGCATCTTTCCCCAGCAAGTTAATTCACCATAGTTTCTGTGTTTGTAAAATGAAGATGATAGCCCTGGCTGGTTTTGCTCAGTGGTTAGAGTGTCGGCCTATGGACCGAATGGTCACGGGTTCAATTCCGCACAGGTTCAACCCAGGCACTTACCTGGGTTGCAGGTCATGCGGAAGGCGACCAGTCGGTGTGTGTCTCTCACATTGATGTTTTTCTCTCTCTCTTTCTCCCTTTCTCTCTTCCATTCTATCTTAAAAAAAAGTCAATGGAAAATATCCTCAGATGAGGATTAACAAAAAGAAAAAATGAGGATGATAGTAATAACAACACCCACCTCACAGAGTGCCTGGCATGTACTACATATTCAATAAGAACTAGTAGTCACTGATATTGAGTGCAAACATGGAGAATTGTCTGTTGGGGGTTGTCAGCGGAGAAAGACAAGGATGTCTTGATTGTCTGCAGGAGTATACATGTAATGGTTGACTAGAATGTGAAGTGGGTAAGGAAATGGGTCGTAAATACACACACACACACACACACACACACATATATTTTTTTCTTTATTGATATTTAGAGAGAGAGAGAGAGAAACTGATGAGAGAGAACATCAATTGGCCGTCTCCTGCATGCCCCCCACTGGGGATCAGGCCCACAACCTGAGCATGTGCCCTGACTGGGAACCGAACTGGCTACCTCTTGGTACATGGGTGGATGCTCAACCACTGAGCCACATTGGTTGGGCTAAATATATTTTTCATGAAGCTGATTGTTGTTGCAGAAATGGCAGAGCAAGTGAACTGAATAGGTAGGAAATGGTAGTCAGAGACTGGCGGTGACAAGGCCTTAGACTCAGTTATGGTGAGTGGCTGCTGTGGAGTGAAAGCCTTGGCTGTGGGTGCTAAGGAGGTTAAGGAATGGGAAAGGCCAAGCTGTTGGATGGATGCATCATTTTTTTTTTCCAGGAGAGATGCATCATTCTTTCACTGATTCAATCATTCAACATTATTTTTTTTCTATTCATTCTATGTGCCAGGCTCTGTTTTAGATGCTGGGGATTAGTCCAACAAAAACAGGCAAAAGTCCCTGTCCTTATGAAACTTATATTCTAGTTTGGGGAATAGGCAGTTAAAAAAATAATAACAACAGCCCGGGCTGGTTTGGTTCAACGGTTAGAGCGTCAGCCTGCATTAGCGCATCAGACTGCGGTCCAGAGAGACCCGGGTTCAGTTCCTGCTAAGGGCTTGTACCTCGATTGCAGTTTGTCCCTGGCTCTGGTTGGGCCCTGCGGGAGGCAGCCACTCGATGTGTTCCTTTCACGTCGATGTTTCTCTCTCTCTGTCTCTTACTCTCTCTCCTTCCCACTCTATCTGAACAAAAAATGGAAAAATGTCCTCGGGTGAGGATAAAAAAAATAATAACAAAAATATATATATATGTGTGTGTGTGTACTTAGGCTAGGGTGGTATCAAGAGAGATGGAGGTATATGGATGGATTTGAAGTATATTTTGTAGGACTTGGAGGTCAATTGAATGTGGAGGTGCAGGGAAAGAAGCAATCAAGGATAGTGTCCAGGTTTTTTTTCTTTTTTAATTCTCACCTGAGGGTATTTACATATATTTAAATATTTTTTTTAAAGAGAGAGAAAGGGCCCTGGCCGGTTTGGCTCAGCGGTTAGAGCATCAGCCTGTGGTCCAGAGAGACCCGGGTTTGGTTCCCGCTAAGGGCATGTACCTCGGTTGCAGTTTGTCCCCGGCCCTGGTTGGTCATGCGGGTGGCAGCCACTCGGTGTGTCCCTTTCATGTCGATGTTTCTCTCTCTCCCTCCCATTCTACCTGAACAAAAAATGGAAAAATGTCCTTGGGTGAGGATAAAAAAAAAAAAAGCCCAACAGGTAAAGAGAGAGAAAGGGAGAGGGAGAGAGAAAGAAACATCAATGTGAGAGTGTAACATTGATCGGCCATCGAGCCCACAACCTGGGCATGTGCCCTGACTGAGAATTGAACCAGCAACCTTTTGGTGCATGGGACAATGACCAACCAACTGAGCCACATGAGCCAGGATGCAAGGATATATTTTTATTGATTTTAGAGAGAAAGGGAGAAAGAGAGAGAGAGAAACATCAATGTGAAGAGTAACCTGTAAGTGCCCTGACTGTGGATAGAACCCACAACCTACATATGTGCCCTGACTGGGAATCGAACCTGTAACCTTTCGGTTTAGGGGATGATGCTCCAACCAAACTAGGGCTGACCTCACTATTTATTTATTTATTTATTTATTTATTTTTTTTTATCCTCACCCGAGGACATTTTTCCATTTTTTGTACAGACAGAGTGGGAGGGAGAGAGAGGAAGAGAGAGAGAGGGAAACATCGATGTGAAAGGGACACATCGAGTGGCTGCCACCCGCACGACCAACCAGGGCCGGGGACAAACTGCAACCAAGGTACATGCCCTTAGCGGGAACCGAACCCGGGTCTCTCCAGACCGCAGGCCGACGCTCTAACCGCTGAGCCAAACTGGCCAGGGCCTGACCTCACTATTTAGATGACATTTGAGCAGAGACCTGAAAGAAAGGAGAGTGAACCAAGCTGATATTTTGGGGAAGAAGACAGTGGGCAGAGAGAATAGCAAGTTCAAAGTCCCAGTGGAAATGAAGGTCACCAAGAATAACAGGAGTATGGACCAGGGGATAAAGTCTCAATGAATGAGGGAGGGTGACAAAAAGTGGGGAGCTAGACTGATGGCAAGAACTACAGAGAAGCCAGCATTTGGAGAAGTGAAAAGATTTAGAAATCACAGCACGGAGCACAGTTGACACTCACCCACCTCCTGTCTTTGAGGTGTGTACTGGGGAAGGAGGGGTGAGAATTAAAGAAACTCTTGGTGGCTTCCTTAAAGAAGAAGGATGCTCCGCTCTGTGAATGGTCCTGCCTGCTTATCCAACACGCAGCTCTGTAAGATCAAAGGCTACAGACATTTGAGTTCTCAGTGCATAATATAAAGCACTCCATGCCCTGGTTCCTGGAACAGAAACCATTGGCGTCTCAGGGCAAGGTAACTGTGGTGCAGTTATCCTGAAAGAAGAGTTTCAGGCCCTGACCAGTGTGGCTCAGTTGGTTGGAGCATCGTCCCATATACCAAAAGGTTGCAGGTTCGATTCCTAGTTAGGGCACATGCTTAGGTTGCAGGTTTAATCTCTGATCAGGGCACGTATGGCAGGCAACCATTTGATGTTTCTGTCTCACATTGATGTTTCTCTTTCTCCCTCTCTGTCTAAAATCAATAAGCATGCCCTTGGGTGGGGATTAAAAAACAAAACATTATTTAAAATATTAGCCCTGGCCAGTTTGGCTCAGCAGTTGAGCGTCGATCTGCGGACCAGAGAATTCCGGGTTCAGTTCCTGCTAGGGGCACGTACCACAAAAAAATTAAATAAATAAAAATAAAATACTAGGTGTTGGGGAAACTGGTGAGCAAGACAGACATGGTTCCTGCCTTCTCAGATAGATAACGATACAGAGTGAGGAATCCAGAGGGCTGTAGGAACATGGAACAGGCACCTTGCTCAGCTTGAAGGTTTAGGGAAAGCTTCCCAGTGGAAGAAGCATCTAAGAGACCTGAAGGATGATTAGGATTTAACCAGGAGAAGTTGGTGGGGGAGGTGAAAGAGAATATTACGGTCTTAGACACTAGTATGTATGAAAGCCTATAGGTTGAGAATATGGTGAGTTTGACTCTCTGAGAACTGAGAGCCATAATGGTAGGATCTAGAGGTTATAAAGGAGTGAGTAGAGAGAGATAAACCATGAGAGGTGGGGAGGGTGTAGACACCTGATAAGGGAAAGCTTTATAAAGAGATTGGGTTTTATACTGAGGGTTATGTGGAGTCACTGAAACATTTTAAGAAGGTGACACTGTACAGAATTCCAATTTAATAAGGTCTCTAGGACCTCAATGTGGCTGTAGTGTGGAGAATGAGAATGGATCGGTAGATTGAAGTGTGGGGTGCAGGGAGGCCTGGAGAACATGTAGAATTTTGCAGAAATGCTAGCAATAAAGCAGTGGCTTCGTGTGGAATGAAGGAGGGTGAACAGATTCAAGAGAATACTAGAAGGTGGAATCGGCAAGATATGGTGGGTTGGACCAGGAGTGGAAAAGGAGTGAAGAGCAGCAGTAGTAGTGCTCATCGGCAAGGCTGGTGCTTAGATTTCAGGCTTGAAAATTGGCTGTGGCACCCAGGAGGAACAGCAGGCTTGAAGGTGGCAGGTGCTGGTTCCTTAAAGACAAATCGAGCTTGAGGTACCTGTGGGATGTCCAAGTGGAGCTTTCCACCAGGAAATATGAATATATGGATTCAGAGTAGAGAAGTAGAAACTGAAGTCATGGCTGGATGACATCACCCAAGGTTCGGCAAATAAGTAACTGACAAAGTTCCGGTATCCAGATGATTTAAAGATTTCCTTCACGTCAGTAAGAAAAAGACAAAACCCAAGTAGAAAAATGAACAAAAATTATGAAAAGGTGTACTTAAGGTGCTAATAAACCTAGATAAATGTCTCAAAACAAACAAACAAACAAACAAACCGTTGATAAATATCTAACCTCAATAGTAATGAAGGAAACGCAAACTTATACCATTTCACAGCCTTCAAATTGAGAAAAATTTAAGTCTGGCAATACCAGCAGGATGCAGAGCAACAGGCACTCTCATGTTGTTGGTGGAAGTGAATTGGGATGAGCCCTTTGGAAAAATTGTGACATTATCTAGCAGAGTTGGCAAACCATAGAGCCCAATGCTTTTCCTCTTTAGCAGAAACTACAGAGAAACCCTCCCACATGTGCACCAGAAAAGCACACTATCTAAAAAAGGGAAAGACATCAGTGACTGTTGACAGAAAAGGATAGATGAGTGGAGTACTCTACAGCAGTGAAAATGCATGAATTAGAGTTAAATGTGTCACCATGGTTAAATCTCACAATCACAAACAGATGCATGCATTGTGATACCATTAATAGTAAGTTTAAAGGCATGCAAGACAGTGCTGTACATTGTTTTTTCTTTGTATAGATATATTCCTAAAGGAATAAATGAGAATGGTAAATTCAGGATAGGGTTTATCTCTGAGGGAAGGTTTCATTGGGAAGAAGTTTTATTGTACTGTATATTTTATTTATTTATTTTTATTGTTTTTTTTTAGAGAGAGGGGAAGGGAGAGAGAAATAGAAACATTGATGTAAGAGAGAAACATGGATTGGCTGCCTCCTGTATGCCCCCTACTGGGGATCAAGCCTAAAACCTGGGCATGTGCCCTGTCCGGAAATCAAACCAGGATCTCTCAGTCCATGGGACAATGCTTAATCCACTGAGCCACACTGGCTGGGCTATTTCTTTCTTTCTTTCTTTTTCTTTTTTCCTCACCCAAGGATTTTTTTTTTTTTTTTTGTATTTATCTTCAGACAGAGCAGGAGAGAGAGAGGGAGAGAAACATCGATGTGAGAGAGACACATCGAGCGGCCACCACCCACAGAACCCCAACCGGGGCTGGGGACAAACTGCAACCGAGGCATGCGCCCCCAGCGGGAACCGAACCCAGGACTCTCTGGTCTGTGGGCTGACACTCTAACTGCTGAGCCAAACCGGCCAGGGCAGGATTTTTTTTTACATTTATCTTCAGACAGAGTGGGAGGGAGAGAGAGAGAGAAACATTGATGTGAGAGAGACATCGACTGGCTGCCACCCTCATGACCCAAACCAGTGCTGGGGACAAACCGCAACTGAGGTACGTGTCCTTAGTGGTAATTGAACCCGGTACTCTCTGGTCCATAGGCCAACACTCTAACCGCTGAGCCAAACCAGCCAGGGCTATTTCTTTTTTTTAAATATTTTTTTTGCTATTGATTTGAGAGAGAGAGGAAGGGGGAAGGAGAGAGAGAAAGAAACATCAATGAGAGAGAACATTGATTGGTTGCCTCCTGCATACCCCCTACTGAGAATCGGGCTGACATCTTGGGCATGTGCCCTGATCAAGAATTGAACCGGCAACCTCTTGGTGCATGGGTCGACACTCAACCACTGAGCCACACCGGCTGGGCCATATTTTATTTCTTAAGCTGAGTGGAGGAGTCACAGGATTTAAAAAAAACAAACTTTTCATATTAGAACTGTGTGATTTATTATTTTTTTTAAAGGCTCAAATGGCACCTAGTAGATGCCTAGTAAATATGTGTATCATTAGTTGGTTCTTTGTCTCTGGGTTGGGATATTATTATTATTAAAAAGTTTTTTTTTTCCCTTTTATTGATTTTTAGAGAGAGAGGAAAGGAGAGGGAGAGAGAGATAGAAACATTGACGAGAGAGAACATCAGTTGGCCACCTCCTGCATGCCTCCCACTGTGGATTTGGCCCACAACTTGCGTATGTGCCCTGACCGGGAATTGAACCGGCGACCTCTTGGTGAATGGGTTGATATTCAACCACTGAGCCACACCGGCTGGGTGGGTTGGGATATTATTTATTTTGTCTCTCTCTGAGTGTTTAAAAAGCAAAAGAATTAATATGTATGACTTGGTAGCCCAAATCTGACATTAAAGTATGAGCTGACCTTTGAATGTTGAGATCAAGATTCTTTTCTTCATATTGACCCTGTCTGCCTTCTCCTGCTTGGTTAAATGATAACAGATGGTCTCCCTCTGCCATAAAACTGCTGGAGACTGCCTCCTTCCCCTACCAGTGACCTGCACATTCCATCTGTGTCCAGGTCCCTGTCCTTCGGATGGTGGAAGGTGACACCATTTATGATTACTGCTGGTATTCTCTGATGTCTTCTGCCCAGCCAGACACCTCCTAGTAAGTGATGTCCTTTGCTTCTGATACTCCCCCCAACAGTTTCAAGAAGACCCTCTACTGAGAGAGAGTCAAGGGCTGCCTAGGGATTTTGGGAGGAGGAAAGCTTGATGTGCTCTTCAGATGGGAGCTGAGAGGACTGGTCAGTTGGCTTCCTCCCCTTCCTTTGACAGCCCTGGGGCCTCAGTGTCCTTGTTGTTCTCAGTGTGGCCAGCAGCAGCCGGGAGAACCCGATTCACATCTGGGATGCATTCACTGGAGAGCTCCGGGCTTCCTTTCGCGCCTACAACCACCTGGTAGGGACCTCCCGCCCAGCCTCAGGCTCATCCTGGCCCAGCTTTGCTTCCTCGATGATAGCTGACTGGCTTTACTAGGCATTGTTTTCAGCCCTTTCCTCCTCCCAGGATGAGCTGACGGCAGCCCACTCACTCTGCTTCTCCCCGGATGGCTCCCAGCTCTTCTGTGGCTTCAACCGGACTGTGCGTGTCTTTTCCACGGCCCGGCCCGGCCGTGACTGTGAGGTCCGAGCCACGTTTGGTAAGCATCTGTTCTAAGAGGAATGAGGAAAAGGGACTGCCGTGTGCAGAGGGGCCTGTGTGAGTCCGTGGACCACATGTGTGTGAGGGTCACGTCCTCCTTCGTACAGCCCTGGGAGGCAGGTAGTGCCTAGTAGGAAGAGGAGAAAACAGACTCAGGGAGGGGATGAAACTTGTTCACTCCGAGCCCAGTACCTGTTGGTCTCCAAAATCTTAGTATCTCTAGGAAATTGGAGGTGAAGCTGATTCTATTTTCCTATAAGCCTTCAGCTTTCCATTCCTTCTAGGAAAAATGGATTTGAGAGGGAAGAAGTAGGTCTTGGGCATTTAGGCCTTTTCGGGGATAGAAGGATCTGAGGAGTATCAGAGGTCTCATTCTGCTTGTGACAAATGAGGTGGGGAGATGCTGAGTCCTGGCACATGGGCCCTGGGACAGGAGACAGGTGTGCCTCTGATTAGCTGGGTTAATGTCAGGTGCTGTTGGGCCATTCCCCACTTTGTTCCTTCCCTCTCTAGCAAAAAAGCAGGGCCAGAGTGGCATCATCTCCTGCATAGCCTTCAGCCCAGCCCAGCCCCTCTATGCCTGTGGCTCCTATGGCTGTTCCCTGGGTCTGTATGCCTGGGATGATGGCTCCCCTCTTGCCTTGCTGGGAGGGCACCAAGGGGGCATCACCCACCTCTGCTTTCACCCCGATGGCAACCGCTTCTTCTCGGGAGCCCGCAAGGTAGGAGTCATGTCCTGAGATCCCAGAGGGTAGTAGGCAGGAGTTGGGATGTAATCTGATATTTTGGGGGATAGACATGAGGAAAAAAGTCAACACAAGCTAAAGGAGTGCCTGTAAACCTGGAGGGATGCAAGGATGTCTGGGGTGGAGGTGGCGGGTGGGGGATCGGGGTAGAGAGGAGTGGACTCCAGGCCCCTGTTCTGTCTTCAGGATGCTGAGCTTCTGTGCTGGGATCTCCGGCAGCCAGGTTATCCACTGTGGTCCCTGAGTCGTGAGGTGACCACCAATCAACGCATCTACTTTGATCTGGACCCGTGAGTGACCTTGTGTCCTTCCTGCCCAGGGCCCCAGTGCCCCCAGGGATGCCCAGCTGTGGCCCAGATCTGAGCCCCTGGGTGTGAGGAGTTCCTGCCCCAGGACAATGACCGCATGCCAGCAAGCCTCTGCTCTCTTCCCCAGGACTGGGCAGTTCCTAGTGAGCGGCAGCACTAGTGGGGCTGTCTCCGTGTGGGACACCCACGGGGATGGACATGAGAGGAAACCAGAGCCAGTGCTGAGTTTTTTGCCCCAGAAGGACTGCACCAATGGAGTGAGGTCATCAGTTAATTCCACAGATCTTGGGACTGGGGTTGGGGAGGAGGGTAAATTGCTGAGGGAGCAAGCATCTCAGGGTGTTGACAGACCCTGCCTGTTTCTCCCTGCAGCCTGCACCCTAGCCTGCCTCTGCTGGCCACTGCCTCTGGTCAGCGTGTGTTTCCAGAGCCCACCGAGAGTGGGGATGAGGGGGAGCAGGAGGTGGACCTTCCCCTGCTCTCCATGCGCCACGTCCACCTTGAATGTCAGCTTCAGCTCTGGTGGTGTGGAGGGAGCCCAGACACCAGTATCCCTGCCGCCCAGGAGGGTGAAGAGGGATAGGGAGGGACAAAAGGAGGTGGGGTTAGTTTATATAAAAAGGTTTTATACAATACCAGAGTCTTTGTGTTTGTTTGGAGAGGCAAATGATGGAGAGGGTCGCTGGGAGGGCTGTTAGTGGTCTCCCTAGTCCAGCAGCAGTGGGGACTGGCATATTGTTCCTGAAATCAGGGTTGAGAGGTGGGAGTAGGTAGGAGCCAATGGGACTATTGAGCTTGGTGTGAAGTCAAGTGAGTGGGGGTGGGGCTTCATGCGAATGACTGGTTGGTTGCTAGGCAACTTGGTAAACTGAAGAGGGGGGAACCTGTTTGAAATCTCACTCCCAAAGTGTGGTGGCAGGGGTCACAGTGAGCGTGGCTGAGCAGGAGTGACTGCAGGAGCTGTATGTCACTGCTGGGCGTGACTATGTGAGACTGCAGACAGTGACAGACAAGACACCCGCTCTCTTGCTCAACACGATTTACCCTCATCCAGCAGCAGAGGGACCATTACTCAGCTCTCGGGGAAGGGGAACAGAAGCACACCCCTCCTCTCCCTTGGACTCCCCCAATGACTGAGTAGCCAGAGTCAAGGACATACATGAAAACAGTAAAGGTGTGCCCTGGCTGGTTTGGTTCAGTGGTTAGAGCGTTGGCCAGTGGTCCAGAGACCTGGTTTCGGTTCCGCTAGGAACACGTATCTTGGTTGCAGTTGGTCCCCAGCCCTGGATGGGTAGTACCCTGGCAGCCACTCAATGTGTATCTTTCACGTCAATGTTTCTCTCTCTCTCTCTCTCTCTCTCTCTCTCTTCCTCCCTCCTTCCCTCCCACTCTATCTGAACAAAAAATGGGAAAATGTCCTCGGGTGAGGATGAAAAAAAAGAAGAAAATAGTAAAGATACTTAAAGACACGACATTCACATTCTGTGCAGGACAAGGGCGAGAATTTTTCATTCAGCAGTTGTCACTGGTGTTTCTCCATTTACCTGCTGTCTTTGGGGATAGGGGAAAAAGTTATTTCAAGCAGTGCCCCCTCCACACACACACCTTGCCAAACACTGAGAAGAGGAGCTCTGGAGAGATACTGTCAGCAGGGGATTTGATTTTGGACCTCAGAATCAAAGAAAGGGACTGGAAGCCTGTGACAGCTCGAAAGGGGAGAGGAATGTCACCTCTGCCCAGAGGTGCTGAAAGCTAGGGTTCTTACACCCAAACAGGCAACACCCCTCCCTTCCCCCAGGATAATTGGAAACAGCCCTTCCAGCTGAATGTGGGTTTGGGGTTGTAGGTACTCCCTTCCCTCTCCCAGCCCCATTTCTCCCCATGACTATCCAAGAAGGGCGCAAGTTTACCCCCAATCTCTTGCTTTTCACCCAATCCCGAGATAACAGTAAAGGGTACAGGAGGCTGTGACAAAAGGGACCCCTGGAGTGGAAGTTCATCAACCTGGGTTTGGTTTCTGGCTTTATTCTAGACACCCTATGACCTTGGGCAAGTCCCGGGACCTTCCTGAGCCTCAGTTTCTTCACTACAATGGGGATCCTTTAGCTCCGACCCTCGCTCCTCACACAGGTGGTCGTGTCGATCACAGCCCACTTGGTAAAGTGGAAGCCTTCAAGGTTATCATTATTCTCTGCAGACCTCCCGGGAGCAGTGGCGTTGTTTTGGGATGCGGGAGGCGGAGGCTGCGGGAGCAAAAGGGGCTGTGTTCCCGGGGTGGAGAAGGCGAGAGCCTTTCTGGATCTGAGACGAAGATCCAAGCGCTCGGGCGATGCGAGGGCCTGAGGGGAGACGGGCAGAAACTAAGCCAGAGACGGGAGTGGCAAAGACAAAGGGGGCGTGAGAGACCGCGCGGGGAGCAGGCGGAGTGGCCGGGCGAGGCGGCGGGAGGTGCGCTGGACTAGGGAGGTCTGGGGGCGTGGGCTGCGGGATCGCCGCCCGCTCCGCCTGGAGCTCCAGCTCCGGTTTTTCCCTCAGCCATCCTCTCCCCCTCCCCGCCTCTCTTTAACTCCCCCTCCCGGGCTCGGGACTGGTTTCCTCCCTTAGCCCGCTGCCCTCAATCCCGGCGAGGCTGGGGCTCCGGCTCGGCGCCCCCTTCCTCGTCCCCTTGTCCGACGCCCCATGCCACCACCGCCGGGTGCCTGGCTCCCCCACTCCCCGACTTAGGCCCACTCTCCAATCCCGGGGTGCTGGAGCCTGGGCTGGGGCGTAGGGAGCCTGCAGACCGCCCCTGGAAGGGCTCTTGAGGGCTGAGCGCTCCAGAGCGGGGCGCGGGCAGAGCAGGAAGCGGGTCCGCGTGGGCGTGGGGGTATCAGCCGCCCAGGAGGTCGGGGCAGAATAGCCAGGACAGCTAAGGCAGTCACCCCAGGGGGTGAGCGACTTAGGGGGAGTTGGTGCCCCGCCCCCCAGGCCTTGGTGGGGTCATGGGGGCCCCCCATTCTAGGCCGGGGGGCGTGCGAGTTGGGGCCCTGCTGCTGCTCGGTTTTTGGGGGCTGGTGTCTGGGCTCAGCCTGGAGCCTGTCTACTGGAATTCGGCGAATAAGAGGTGAGCGACCCGGGCTGGGGAGACACTACACCCTCCCAGCAGGGAATGTGGAAGCTTTGGGGACTTAGGGGGCTGAGTTCTCTGAGCCGGGAGGAGGCTGGAGGGAGGGTGCCGGTGCTCTTCTGAGAGCTGATGGGTGAGACTAGACAGAGGTGATCTTGGGAGCCAGATTCCTGGGTCACACACACAGCTGGATGTGGGTGGTGATATCCAGGTGTTGGGAGTTTGAAGGACCCCAAAGGGCAAGGATCCGAAAGTTCCTTGGGGAGCTGGGAGGGCAGTGGAGTGGTTATGTGGGTTTGTGGGAGACTTGCATGGTGTGGGGGGCTGGGCTTGGAGGGAGCCTGGTTAGTGTCAGCTCTCAGGAGAGCAGCTGAGTAGGTGCTGCTGAAGCGTTGAAGGGAAAGGCAGGGTGCCTCCCTCCCCAGAAGGGACTCTAGTGGAGATGGGAGGGAAGGGGGCTCAGTTTGGGGACAACTCCCCCAAGGCTTCTTAACTCTCTTCACATAGTCTGTCTCCCAACTCTTACCCACAGCCAGAGGGTCAATCAGCCTTTGGTGGAACAATTTCCCAACCAGATGATATTCCTGCATTTCTGGCTTGGGGACTTCCTTCTGGAAGAAGCCTGGAGCCTCATAAAGTGGTTTCTTTTGCCCTCTTGCCCAAGGACTCCATTGCTTCCTCCCCATTTTTGCTAACTCTTCCATTAGATTTCTGTTCCAAGGCATGCTTGCTTTGCTCTGAAAAAAGGCCAGGGGTCAGATGAAACTTCAAGCCACACTGTAGTAGAGAACCCTTGGGAGGTCATCTGGGTCCCTTGCCTCCATGAAGATTTCATTTTCATTTCATTCCCATTAGCAAAAAGACTTCTGTGTTTTGAAAAGTCCTGGGGAGGCTGCAAGAAGTCATGAAAAGTGGGTAGACTACAGAGCTCGTCAAATCCTAAAGTTTTAATCCTAGCTCAGTGCTTTGAGCTGTGTGGCCTTGGGCACATTACTTAACCTTTCTGAGTTTGTGTTCTCAGTCCTTAAAGCTTTTATGAGGATCAGAGGTAAGGTGTTGGAATATATATGCTCATTAAAGGAGAACTAGGATAATTGCCTTTCTTCTCTTTGCTTCATAGCCTCCCTCACACTTTCTTGTTTTGGTCTCCCTCCCGTGTCTCTGGGTATAATCTCAACTGTTTTTTCTCTTCTCTCTCTCTCCTTCTCTTTTAAAATTGATTTGAGAGAGAGAGAGAGAGAGAGAGAGAGGAAGGGAGAGAGATCAGTTTGTTGTTCTACTTATTTTATACATTCAATGGTTGCTTTTTATATGTGCCCTGACTGGGGATCGAAACCAGAACCTTGGTGTATTAGGATGACGCGCTAACCAACTGAGTTAACCCGGCCAGGGCTCTCACTGTCTTTTCTTTACTCAGTCTCCTACATGCCAACTCCCAGCTGCAGTTTATCTGGTACAGCTTGAGGACGTTAGGCTTATTCTAATAGAATTGAGAAAGGGGAATTGGGTGTTCTGGAGGCTTTTTGGGATGTTGGGTGGGAGAGAGGGTCATTTGAGAGTCTGGGAAGATACAGAGCAGCAGTAGTCCCCTGGGATCCAGTTCTGAGACCCTGTCGGCCACTAACGTACAGGGAAGGGCTACAGTCCGGCAAGTAGTGGCTGTGCTGGTCCAGTGGATGCCTGAGCAGAGAGATGTGGGCCTGTGTTGACTGTGGTTAGAAAAGTCAACTCCTTCATTTCCGTAGCAATGGGGCACTTGCCCTAGGAAGTTTTAGACCTGGAGGAGGAGAGGTGTTGAGCAGGGAAATGTGGGCAGTTGGCCCCCAGACCCTGGTTCCCACTAGACCCATTTAGGTCCATTTCCCGACCAGGCATTTGCCTCCTGTCACATTGCCTAGTTAACTTGGGGCACAGGTCTGGATCACCCTCCTTTTCCCCCTTGACTATGTTTGCCCTGAAATCCGGTGGTGGCCTGGGGGAGGGGAGGCTCTGCCCCCATGGTTGACTGCCATGAAATAGTGAAATCACCTGGGAGGGGTGGGCTGTGTGGTTTCAGAGAGGCCAGCTCCTTGGTAACTGGCATCCTGTTGCCATGGCAACGGAGCTGGTGATGAAGGGAGAGATGGCAGTGTGCATGTGGTGAGGGCAGGCTGAAGAGTGCATTTGGGCACACCAAGGGGCAGGAGACCTCTGAGCCTGGCTTCCTGCTGCTTCCAACATGAGCTTACAGAGTCCTTAGTGCCTGCTCAGAACAGACTTTCTTCTCAGACAAAGGCTGACCTGCAGGGACGTGGGATGAGGGAGGTGAAGCTCAGGGGGCCAGACCTCTGATACCTCTCCCCCTTGTCCACCTCAACCTCCTCCCCATAGGTTCCAGGCAGAGGGTGGTTATGTGCTCTACCCTCAGATTGGGGACCGGCTAGACCTGCTTTGTCCCCGGGCCCGGCCTCCCGGCCCCCACTCCTCTCCTAATTATGAGTTCTACAAGCTGTATCTGGTAGGGGGTGCCCAGGGCCGACGCTGTGAGGCACCCCCTGCCCCAAACCTCCTTCTCACTTGTGACCGGCCAGACCTGGATCTCCGCTTCACCATCAAGTTCCAGGAGTATAGCCCTAACCTCTGGGGCCATGAGTTCCGCTCGCACCATGATTACTACATAATTGGTACTGCTGGGCATAGGGCAGGGTTGAGTGGGGAGGTGCCCCTGGGATGGAGGGCAGATGAGGGAGGGGACCACTAGAGACAAGAGAGGCCCCTTATGTCCTCGGATGGTGTTGGGGCCCGGGCATGGAGACAGAATTGAGGCTAGACTCTAGAGTGCCAACTTCTCCCTGTGGCTCTTATCTCCCAGCCACATCAGATGGGACCCGGGAAGGCCTGGAGAGCTTGCAGGGAGGCGTGTGCCTTACCAGAGGCATGAAGGTTCTTCTCCGAGTGGGACAAAGTGAGTGGGGCTGGGGCACCTCCTAGAAGCTGAGGGAGGTTGGGGCAGTACCATCATGGTCAGGGGGCTGCTGTCTCAGCCCCTTTCTCTTGGATCTTCCCAATCTCTAGGTCCCCGAGGAGGGGCTGCCCCCCGAAAGCCTGTGTCTGAAATACCCATGGAAAAAGACCGAGGGGCAGCCCACAGCCTGGAGCCTGGGAAGGAGAACGTGCCAGGTAGGAACCAGAAGTCCAGCCTCCTCCCTTCCCCAGCCTTCTCTGCTCTTGGATCCCAGCTGTCTTGCCTTCACCCTCTCCCTCCCTCTTATAGTTTTTTTGGGGGGAAAGAGGAGAAGAGAGGATGAGAGGGTGGGAGGGGAATGGAAGCCAAATGAGGAAAAGACTCAATTAGAAGTAATTAGCCAAGTCAGCGCTTCAATCAGTGCTGTCAGAGAAGTGGGGAGGACTCTTTGGCACAGAGCTGAAGGGCTGGACACACCTGGATTCTGAGCTGGGCTTGGAGGGGGGTAGGGGAGGTGTGGTCCCCAAGGGGCTTGGGTACTGCTGGGGAAGCCCATGGGGACCCCCAAGACTGGCTGCCAGATGCCCAGGTGGCTCCTTCAGCCCCTCCCCCTCTTTCCTCCTTCACCCCTTCCCTGCCAGGTGACCCCACCAGCAATGCAACCTCCCGGGGTGCTGAAGGCCCCCTGCCCCCTCCCAGCATGCCTGCAGTGGCTGGGGCAGCAGGGGGGCTGGCGCTGCTCTTGCTGGGCGTGGCAGGGGCTGGGGGTGCCATGTGTTGGCGGAGACGGCGGGCCAAGCCTTCGGAGAGTCGCCACCCTGGTCCTGGCTCCTTTGGGAGAGGAGGGTCTCTGGGCCTGGGGGGTGGAGGTGGGATGGGACCTAGGGAGGCTGAGCCTGGGGAACTAGGAATAGCTCTTCGGGGCAGTGGGGCTGCAGATCCCCCCTTCTGTCCCCACTATGAGAAGGTGAGTGGTGATTATGGGCATCCTGTGTACATCGTGCAGGATGGCCCCCCGCAGAGTCCTCCAAACATCTACTACAAGGTATGAGGGTTCCTCTCACCTGGCTCTCTTGGATCCAGCCCTTCTTGTGGTGCTCCTCCGTGTAATTCATGGTTGGAGGGACACCTCTAGCATCTCCTTGGCCCCCTTTGCCCCACCAGCTTCTTTGTTCCTCCTGGCTGTTGTCCTCTTCTCTACTTGTAGGATTCCTTAAGATTTTCACTGAACCACTTCCTGTCCTATGATTGGCCATGTGTGCCCCTCTTAGTGTCTTCCCAGGTCCTGTTTCCTTGGGGAGGAGGCAGAGACTCAGCCACCTCTTCTGACCATGACCCAGGGGTCCTTGCCCCCTTTACCTACTGAGAGCTAGGGGTGGGAACAGTCTGTCTTTTGCTTGGCACCTCTTTCTTTCTGCCTCTCACAGATTCTTCTCTTCTCTTCTCTTCTCTTCTCTTCTCTTCTCTTCTCTTCTCTTCTCTTCTCTTCTCTTCTCTTCTCTTCTCTTCTCTTCTCTTCTCTCCTCTCCTCTCCTCTCATTCTTTCTCTCTCTCATTCTCTTTCTCTCTTCTGTCTCTAGATCTGTTTCTCTTCCCTAGCATCCTCCTCCCTACATCTCCTTTCACCCTATTGGCTTCTTATCCTGTGCCTCTTCCATCTCCTGGGTGGGGGCATTGAAGTTGTTTCCCCCTCAGCTCACTCTTCTCAGCTCTTATCGACCACTCCCCTCAGTCTGCCAAAAGTGGGGGCCTCATGGGGAAGGCTCTGGCACTCCACTCCAGCTCAGGGCATGGGCAGCAGGGCCTCCTTTTCTGCCCTGCCCCAGGCCTTTACATACTTACTCCAGCCATTTGGGGTGGTTGGTTACGACAGCTACCATGAGAAGTGTCCTGTTTTCTCCAGTGGCCAATAGCAAGATATGACCCGGTCAGGACACATACGGACTTGTTCTGATGCCGAATGGGTCACTTGGGACAGGAAGTGACCTGCTCCAGACAAGAAGTGACCAGGCCTGGACAGAAGTGGCCTGGTGAAGTGGCAGAAGCAGTGCAGCAGGAACTGGAAGTGCCTTCATCTGGCTGGAACTCAAGTGACTTAGTCTGGAGGGTGGGGGGAGGGAGGTGGATGGTTCTTACTCTGTGGAGAAGGGGGAGCAGGAAGAGCTTCCTGTTATAGGAGGAAACTGGAACTTACTGACTGTAAGAAGATTGGGTGGACTGAGGAGGATTTTCCTAGTGTTCAGTGGCACTTCCCAGGATCTCCCTTCCTTTGTTCTTTGTGCTGCTTTTAAGACAGCTAAGATGACTGCCATCTGCGGTGGCAGGTCCAATTTGTCTTGTTCTTCTTCCCTTTCCATAGTCCAATATAATCTGTTACTCAACAGGACTACCCCAAGAACCCATGTATTGTCCCCCAGTAACCCAGATGGCTGTCTTGTTCATCACATCCTCCATTCCCTACTCTTCAGATTCAACACAGCTCCTTTCTTAGTGACCGGAATGGTGGCCTACTGACTGGTCCTGCTGACAGTGGCACTTAGCAACTGCCAGTGTTCCAGAGTGACCAGCTTATACCTCTTCCTGCCCTCTAGTACACAATTGGGTGTTGCCTCAGTTTCCTCCCAGCTCAGTTTCATTAGATCAGAGCTGCCCTTGGGCACCAATGACAAGCCAGCATGGTTGCTTTAGCCACCAGAGGTCAAGTCATCGCTCTGGTGTAGTTCCCAGCTCCTTCCTGATTTTTCTAATTGCTCCATCCAGGGAACAGGAAGTTGCCGTTGCCATGGGGGAGGTGGCTGGGTATGGCTGTCACCTGAATAGTTTTACTGTAAAAGGGAAATTTGAACAACAAAAACCAAAAAGGAATAAAAAACTTCAAAAATTAACGAGAAGGCTGGAGAATGACTGAACATGAATTGGGACAGAGAACTTGTTTAGAATGGTTTTCAAGCTGAGGGTTGGATTGCATGACACCAAGGGGAAGGGTAGGGAGAGGGTTGGGTTGGAGAGGTGAGGTGGGCAGTGCTTAGGGAGGGGTGAGAAGGCTGAGGAAGGGGGCCACCTCTGGGGGAGAGGGAGAGGAACCCAGGCAGGAGTGGGAGTTGCCAGTGCATTCAACGGGGATGTATGTGAATATAAGTTCACGCGCGGGGAAAACCTGAGTGTCTATTGCTAAACCAAAGCACCGAAACAAGGCAAATGACAGTCAGAAACCAAGTAGAAAAAAAGCATGTTCACATGTTAGAGTTTCTTCACCATCCCTGCCCAAGGCACCACTGATGTGGGGTCTTTTACTCTGAGGAGAAGAGGTGTGGCTGCCCAGAAGACTCAAGCTTGTTGTCTCCTGGCTCCCTGTGTACCCACAACCTAGGCTCTTCTCCCCTAAAAAGCCCAGGTGCCCAGCCCCCTAGACTCAGCCCTATTCTCCAACCACAAAAGCAGCCATCAGGAGCATCGTTAGAGCTGGTTGGCAGGGGTCACAACCTCTGCCCTACCCACCCCTCCCCTGACTCTAGGTCCTCTCCCGCTGTCTCCCATCTGCCTGGAGGTCAAGGGGTCCTCCTGTCCCTCTGTCCAGTGGGACCCCTCCCTGCCCCTTCCTCTGTCTGAGCGAGATGCCTGGATCGCGAGAGGTGCAGGCACTGTTAGTAGGGAAGTTGAAAACAGAGGCCAGGTGCTGGGCTGTGTGGAATGTACTCCTGCCTTTCAAGCCTGTGCTGGAGCTGCCCAAGGTGGGGAGGCTTGAGGGGGTGTGGAAGGGCTGGTCCCTTGCCCCTTAGTGGGGGTTTATTGTCATGGCAACATCCCCTTCTTCACACAATGGGAAGCCCCCCTCAGTCTCCCTTGTGGATGGAGCCGACAGCCCCATGGCTGGCTATCAGCCTCAGGGACTTGGCAACCGTCACTATGGCAACCCAGAGCCCAGCAACAGGGCCCAGTGAGAAAGGGAGGGGTCCAAGACTGGGGCAGGGCTGTGTGTGAGAGGGGGCAAGAGAGCTGAGGGAGACTCCCCCTACACATACATCTAGAGACACAGGTGGAGAGACAAGAGGGAAGAGAAGTGGGATAATTTCCCATGACAGACAAACACCTCACTAAAGCAGCAGAGACATCATGACATGCTGAGAGACAGGAAGACACCTGGGGACAGATGCACAGCTGGGGAGAGAAACAGCAAATTCTACATAGCACCCGGGGACACACCCCCATTGGAGCACTGGTATCTACAGACTCCCCACCCCTACCCCCAACATGAACAACACAAGACCTACAGCCTTCCAAACGTGTAGTGACTTGTGTATCTTTTGAGCTATTTGAAAATTCTGGTGATTTCCACACAGAACAATCCATGTCATCCTATTTGCTTTCTGGGTACAAATACACAAACACACAAACACACTCTTAGGGTAACAATTACAACAAGTGAATAGAGAGGCAGGAAGACCTCCCTCTCTCTTTTCCCCTTCCCTCCCTCCCTCCCTCCCTCCCTCCCTCCCTCCCTCAACATCATATTAAGTGTCTACTTTGTTCCAAGTACTGTTTCAGATACTGGGGAGTATATATGGTAAATAAGGCAAAATCCCTACTTTTGTGAAGTCCACATTTTGGTGAGGAACAACGTAATAAAATTTCTGGTAGTGATAAATGATGTAAACAAAACAGAGTAACAGGATGAAGAGGATGGAGAGTAACAAGGGGATGTTTTAAATTAGGAGGTCAGGAAGGTCCCTCTGAAGAGGCGACATTGAATGAGGACCTCGGATAATGGGGAGTGAGGCACGCAGTACAAGGAAGGGCATACCCAGCAGAGAGAACAGCAAGTGCAAAGTACAGAGGTAAAAATCTTGATGTGTTTGGAAATAGCAAGAATGACATCATAACTTCACATATATTCCAGATGTGTCCTGTCCTTCCCCAGCCTCCACCTGTAGGTCACTTAGGGTCTAGAATCCACATTTAGGAAGTTGGTTTAACTCAGTCTTCTATGTTCCCCTACTTTGTTTCTTGTGTGTATTTAAGTTGTGTATTCTTCAACTAAATTTTAAGCTCTGGGAGGGCAAGGATGGTACTCTGAGCTTCTTGGGAGCTGTGGTACGGCTGCTGACACAGAATCTAGAGCAGACAGGCACAGTGGAAGTATAGCAACGAAGAGGGCTGGGGACCACAGAAGGGAAAGTTGTCCTCACCCCACCACCATAGGATTGAGGCTGTGCTGCAGACAGAAGCACAGACTTTGCCATTCTTCCAGACAGAAGCAGGATATAACTAAGGTTGAGGTGTGTGTGTTTGTATATGTGGTTTATGTGTGTGTGTGTGTGGGGGGGGGGTTAAGGGGAATAGAGCAAAGGGTTACAGTGGGAATTTCTGGTGGGGAATGGTTAACATTGTAAACTAGAATTTCAGTGAAAATGAAAAATGGAGCTTCCTAGGGGGCTACACAGCCAATCACAAACATGGTTGCGGTGTGGTTTGAAGGCTGGGAGCTGGCTGGGATGGACTCAGAGAGTTGGGCAAAGGTAGGAAAAGGCTACATGGGAGTGAAAATTGGGCAGCAGAGGTGAAGTTTGGAAGGTAGCAGGGCAGGTGAAGTCCTGAAGGGAATTCTGTGCGGACCAGGTTCTGTCCTAGGTACCCCCAATTCCCACAGGGAATTGAAGTCGGCTTCCTCCAACTGCCATCAGAAACTTAGGTATCAGCTCCCTCCAACCCCAGTGGCTGTGGTGGTGGTGGGGAGAGTGAGCAGCCTCAGGGGGCAGCAGCTGGTGAGTTGGGAAGAATCTGTGTGCTCAGCAAACAGCGGCCTCAGTGCCCAGTGGCTGCCTCCTCCCTCATCAATCAGCCCCAGCCAAATGTCCTTGCATTCCCACCACCCCAAGGGGACTGGGGCTGGGCCAGGGTCCCCAGGGGAGTGAGATGGGGATGGGTGGGGGAAGATGGGGGTGGTGCTTGGCTTCCCATCTCTTGGCTTCTATTCTCTCCTCCCCTGGAAGCTCTCAGCTCTTCATGTCATGGAATGACTCTCTCCTGGCTCCTACCATCATGAGGGCATCAGCTACAAATCACCTGTGGGGGTCTGCTGGGAGGGAATAAGGGGGAAGAAGGATGAGTCAGGGATGAAGAGGAATCTACTCTGGTTCTCACGGGACCGGCCCAGGGCACAGTCAGCAGGGAGGCTGTTGGCACAGAGGCCGAGTCCCCCCAGTTAGCCTCTCCATCCCTGACAGATGCTCTGGACAGCAGGCTGTCATCTCAAGCCCCTAAATGTCTTCCCTTCCCACCTTTTCCTAGCCCCCAGCCCTCACTCCCTGCTTCCCACCAACATCCAGAAGTCTGGCCCCCAGCTCACCTCAAATCTGTTGCTCC